TTTCAACTTTACAATTTACACAACTGCAATCGTAACAGTTCAATCAAAACATAACATAACACAATAACAAAACTAATTAACTTATAAATCATATACAGAAAAAAAAAAAAAACTGAATTAAAACAAATGAAAAGTACAACTACACAATAAAACTAATATTCCCTAACAATAACTTGTTCAATACACAACTAAATAAAAAAATAACCCCCTATTAATGCTCCTCATCGGTGTCCTCTCTTCATCATCATCATCCTTACTCTCATCCTGCATTGACTCCTTCACTTTCTACAGTTCTAAAAGCACCACCCCTTCGATCTCAGGGCGGCTACCTGGCCAACAACCTCAGTAGCTACCTGGCGACGCATCTCCTCCTCCTATGAAGTGAAAGTAGATGCACTGGATGTATTAGAGGCTGGGCAGGCATCATAGGTCAACGCCTGGGACCCCAACCCATAGAATTTGCCATTCTTTTTCCCGCCGACAACCACCCTCCAAAGGTTGTACTCATAAAGATAGTGAGATGTGCCCGGACCAATGGTTGATTAGTGAGATAAGCTCTCCTTGAGCTTGAGGGAGGCCTCCTACAAAATGTATGATTAATGAAAGTGAGACAATAAATAAATATTGCTATGTATTTGAAATTCATACTTATTAAACTTGTGTATTACCTGGGTCACCTGAATTCTACTGTCCACTCATGACCGATCTGATTGCCGCCTATGGGTGCGTTTATGAAACTTTATAGCAGTTGGCTCTCGTCGTTTCTCCAATGTCTGTCATTGTAATGTAATAGTTAGCATAAATTTAATTCAAAATAAGATTTAATGCAAAAAAAAAGTCTTACCAACTTCCTATTATACTCAATATGTGAGAGGGCTCCACCGGTGTGCTTTGAGGCCCCCATGCCCCTGCCATCAAAGCAACAATTTAGCTTTGCATGCTCCTTCTCTGATGCTCAGGAGAATCCCATGCTCTAAGCAGTGTCACAAACACATTCTTACCCAGTCGCAAAGGGAGCTCATGTGTCAAGTGTATATCATCAAACTGGTCTAGCAGACAATCACTCATCTTGTGCTCAAAGTTTCTGCGGATGTGTGCCTCCTCCTCGGGGGGCTAGGACCACTGCTTCTGTAAAATTGAATTAAAAATTGTAAGATTTATAAAAATAAATGCATAAATGTAATTACTGTGTTCAAGGTTTACCTTAAACTCACCAAACCAAATATCCCAAACTATGATCGGGATCTCCTTCCAGTAAGTATTGGTGGTCGTATTTGCTCCGAACTATATATCTGATGTAATGCATGGCTTATTTATGGGGAGTAAATCTAAAAATAACACATATTAGTTCTCTATTAAATAAAAAACACAATGCAATAATGTCAACATTAAATTAACTTGTGTTCCCCACTATCTTAAGTTGATGTAGATTTCTCATGCTACTCGAGCTTAATGACGCATTAATACCATCTGATGTTGACGATCCTGGTGGTGTCGTGGTAGTGGCTGGTTGTTGTGGTAGTGTTGCGGCCACAAGTGGTGGCTATTGCTGGTAGTGGTGTCGTGGTTGTTACTGGTAGAGGAATTGGTGTGGTAGCTGGGACTAAAGGTCGTGCCTGTGTGGTGCCCTCTGTACTAGCAAGTCCACGATCTCCTCGGCTTACGAACTTTCGTAAACCAAAACGTCCCCTAACGGGGGGCATATTTCCCCTTCCTCCAAAAGTCCTTTATAAAGATAAAAGTAAATTTAATTAGTACATCTACATACTACTAAAGATTAAAGTGCAATAATACATACTAAAAAGAAATGATAATACTAAATTACATGCGTACAATCTACAGCTACTAAAATTGAAAAAAAAAACAAAAGTGCAGTATACCAAAGGGAAAACTGTAAAGTGCAATCTACAAACTACTGAAACTAAAAACACAAAAGCACAAAATAAAAACAAAATAACATTTACACTTCTTCGTTAACATCGTCCGATGAGTCACTTGATGATGTAGTTAAAATTACTTCATCTAAACCATCGCTAAAATCATGCTCATCGATATCAATTTCTTTTTGTTCGTCATCAACATCCACTAAATTTATCCCTTCATCGATAGTGTCAAGTGGAATGTATGGCTATCATTTCAAATTCCAAGTCAATTGTTTCAATATAATTCTAAATATCAATAGTCGTTGTCAATTTTCTGGTTATGACTACTGCCCACATTAATTTGTCTCTTATTCTATAGGGATATGAGAGATAAAATGCTTGACTTGTTTGTCTTGCTAAAACAAACTAATCAAATTTATCATATCTCATGTTCACTTATACTTCTATGATATTATACAGTTAGATAACCTTTGTTCCATGATTAGGAACTGGATCGAACCAGTCACCGTTGAACATGAATATACTCCCACCAATAGAGCCAAGATAAGATAGTTCAACAACTTCTTTGAGAATACTATAGTAATCTATCTCATTGTCTGGGTTATCATTTGCTTTAACACAAACGCTGGAATTACAAGTCTTTTTCCCCTCTGAATAGGATATCGTATGAAAATTATCGCCATTCACATCATAAATTTGCCAAATTTTGACGATGCGCATGAGTCCACAAGCAAGATCTAATAAGCCCTAATCTGTTGCTCCATTGTCCCGATCATGAATCTAGTAATTCATAGATAACTCATTTGTCATTAAAGATAACTCATAAGAATTATCTTAGATGTTCAATAGTTTTGATAAACACTTAAATGTGTGTGAACCATTTGGAAAAAATATTTTCTATATCCTGATTTATGATAACATCTTCAACTGAGTACAACAAATCTAGTATAAATCGTTACCATGATAAAAAAATTATGGATTAGTCATCATAATATTTTCACATTGAAGAATAAATTATTAATAGAATTTAGTATCTTACAAAATAAAGGGTTGAACTTCGTCGCAATTTAAAAGAACAAAAAGTATCACTGCTTGAAGTTCCTGATCACTAAGATAACGTGATGTGCACCTTTCTGATGCTTCACCAAACGACTGAAAAACACAGTGTCGTGAGAGGCACAACACTCAATGATGTGGACTCTTCTTGCACAAGATACTAGGACCAGAAAGTGGTAGTCTCGTACAATAAATATGCCTCACATATGGATCATTATGGTTGTGCTTTATTTTTGACAGTTCACTTCAATTTATTCAAAAATCTATAATGAAATTATTTCATAATATTATTTACGAAGTAGTTGCTATAACATTTATTCAAAAATTATTACTATGAACTTCTCAAATGGATACATCCATCGATAATGTACCGATTCACCAAGTAAGGCTTCACGTAATAGAAGCACCGATAAACACTTACGGAGTAAAAAAAACTAGGTGGGAATAGTCTTTTGAGCTTGCAAAATATTATTGGAATATTTGCTTCTAACTCTCGTATACCAGCAAAATTCAAATGAGCTGCGCATATCTGTTTAAGGAACGTGTTGCGTTCAATTAGTGGATTTAAAATATCACTTGGTAAGGAGCTAAATGCGCCTGACAACAAATTTTGAAGAAAAATATGACAATTGTGGTTTTTCTTTCCAAATAACTTTCTTGTCTCCACATCAACACAACGATTAAAATTTGAAACATATCTCAGTAATTTAAATGTCTGGAGCCACTCACAAATTCATCTGCATTGTGCCAAAGGAAGAGAATATTTTGTTTTGAGCTTTAAAAGCTTGCCAATAATAGTTTCCTGAATGCCTCGACAACGTTCAAGAACTCCTGTGTATGCCTTTTCATCAAGCACTAAGTGTGCTCATTGCTGTGTTTTGAACAACGACGTCGAGAATTGCCCTCAGAAAGATAAGATGGAAGTTGAGACACCGTTCAAGAACTCCTGCGTGATCCCTTTTCTACTGAATAAAGTCGGTTATACATGATCTTGATGTACGAGTATCCTTGTGTACCACCAAACTTGAGAATAATCAACACATTATAAAGTGCATTCGACTGAATAAATTATATTTAATTATTGTAGTAAATCTGCTGGCGGAACAGTAACAATTTGTAATCAAACCTGACAATAATCAACACATTTTAAAAGGAGTGAGCATCTTAGATAGCTTGAACAATGAAAACCGCTTGAAAATTCAATAATTTCACTTTTGGCTCGGATGAATAGCGAATCGAAATAAACAACTAAAGCTTGAGGCAGTAATTTTGGAATAAAATTCTTTTAAACCGACAATAATTAAGCTCGAAGTCAGAACAATACAACTTATTGAGAATGTTAGAGTTATGAAAGATAATTAACCTGTATTAAATTTTATCGAATTTTCAAATCTAATATTGTCTTTCATCATACCTACATCAAACCTTGCACTTGTTTTTTACTTTCGTAATTTATTTTTTAACTAAAAATCTAATCATAGATCTAAGCATTCTCATCCTTGCAAACCCCATATGCAATTGACTGCACATCTGAAAATATGCTTTTAGAAGAAAACATTTAATATAATGTAAGAGTTTTCACTGTATCATCCAATACAAAGTTTAAATTCCATTGTCATCAAGGAAATTCACTTCGAAATCTATATTGTCAGTTCCAAAATGACCTCGAAACCTAATTTGCATTGCCAAAATGGGAATTGAGGCAATAAAAATTAGATTTTAATGTGAATTTTCATCTTTGAACTGACAGATTAGATTTCGAAATGAATTTTCATTCTAACAATAAAAATTACACTTTGCAAAGAACAAAACTGTGATATCTTTTTACAACATATAAAATATCTTTTAAATAAATATTTTCATACACAAGGTGCCCCAAACACGTCTAATTATGACAGTGGACCGTGTGCTCTCCAATCACAATCGCGCATCGCAGTGCGTGCCGAGAGCGCATGCAATAATGTTGCTCCCCAAACACACCCTAAATCGCATAAATAATTCTTTCTGCCTCTTCTCGTAAATCCAGGATTTAAATTCCTTACAAAAAATATATTACACGCATACTGAGCTAATTATTTTCCTTTCTTGAGGCCAAATAATCGGTCAGGTGCCCCCAACTGTGGAAGCGCCGGGGCCGCACAGCAGAGTTGCGGAGGTTTGCTTATCACACGCGCCTCTTTGCTGATTCCGCGCAGCTGAGTGCTAGGGTTGGGATTCATCTCCTGTATATTGCTGCTCTGTTGATCGATGGGTTACGTCCAAGAGGCCAGAGAGAATCATGTGAAGAAGAAGGTGGAAGAAGGTAAATCTCCACTCATCACCATCCCCAAATTCCCCATTGCGCTATTCAGAATGTTTTGTTGGTAGAGCGCTTTTTTTATGCATGACTTCTTTTAAAAATTAAAACCTCATCCATTTTGGTAAGTTTTTAGATGCACCATTTCTGTTAGGGTTCTTCATCCATTGATTTATGACAATTTGAAGCACACGTTCAATAGATCAACTCTCGATTGCTGTTGCGATTTTCCTTTTTATTCGTTCCAGGCATTGCCGACCCCGAAAATATTTTGTAGTCATTTCTTAAGTTCGTTTATGTATTTTCTTCCTTAATTTTTATACTGAGGATTCATAGTTGTTGAATGCAGCTTTACGTAGTAAAATGAAGCAGAAGGCACTCAAGGAATGCGACCATTATGTTGCAAAGTATGCTGAATGTGCTTCTGGAAGGACTCTATCTGTAGTTTGGCTCTGCAGAAAACAGGCGAAAGTGTTAAATGAATGCCTTCATCATTAGTAAGTCAAGTCTTCTTGTGCTACTTTATTTTGAGCTTGATGCTGTTCATATGTATGATTCCGGTTTGTAATGAAAGAAAATTGAATGCTTAGTGTTGATTGGGCTTTGATTCATGGCTGAAGATAATGATCAATTTTTAATTATGAATATTTAGTAAAAACTTAGATGAAAGAAGGTTAACTCTTGAGGAATCTTTCATCCGTTAATAAGAAATTTCAGAGCAGAAATAAAATAGAGTATTTGTTATGTGAAAAAGCCACATTTCTCCCTTTAAAGGTGTTCTCATGAAATAATTTGGTTGTCTCAAAAAGCTTGCCTTTTTTTTATATAAATTGTTTCTATCTCATTTCTGTTATACCGTGGTTGGAAATACAGTTGCAACAACTTAATATCTCAATTACTAAAACATTATTTGTGATGTGTATAAATGAAGCATTTTATTTGGTTTGCAATAATATACAACTTGACAATCATTTAAACATAGAATAAATGAAGGCAGGGAATGGTATGTAGATTTTGAATAAAAACTAAACTATGAGAGTATGATTTTGATCTTGAAACTTAAGCATGGAAGCGTATGTTAATTCGTGAAGACAGGGGATGGGAATATGTGCATTTATTGATAAAGATGTGAAAGATTGAACAACATAGGTTTGAATATCTTGTTCGGGTTTAAATTTCTACCAGTTTAAAATTTAGAAAACAAGAAATACATTTTTGTTGGTGGATTGAATTTGATGTAGTTCTTTGTAGAAAGGATAAATTAAGAATATTGTGGTAAGTCAAGTTGATTATTTCCGTATGTTTGTTCATATTTGTTGGAAACTGATCAATGGACTTTTATATGCTTGGATCTCAATTAATTTTGATCTTGTATTTATCTTAAGCTACACTAAACTTGAGGTCAACTCGTGAGATGTATGCTTGGCTCGAGCTCAACTCATGCTCATAACCCGTGCTTGAACTCAGCTCGAAAACTCAATTTTGAGGTCGACCACAGTGATTCAGGTCGAACAATATTGTGGTAATTCAAATTGATTATTTGTGTATGCTGGGCTATATTCGGTGGAAAATGATCAATGGAATTTTATATGTCAGGATCTCAACTAATCTTGATATTATATTTATCTTCAGCTACAATAAAATCTAGCTCAACTCATGCTCATAACCTGAGCTCGAACTCTGCTCGAAAACTCAATTTTGAGTTTGACAATAGTGATTCAGGTCGTGCGGGAGCTATAGGGCTGTGGAGTCTAGCAAGAGACGGGCACGGGTTGCGAGCAATGGGATTAATTGATATTATTGAGCTGACTCAATGAGCTTCCAAGTCTAGTCAGGTTAAGCTCAAGCTCTAGCCCTTATGATAAACTAATTAAGCTTGTGACACAATAAGCTTGGCTTGCGAGCTCGTTAATGAGTCGAGCTTGAGTCGACACTGGTCACTCACACTCTTGCCCAGGCTTTGCGCTAGTATAAGAATAATCGTCTTATGAAAATTGTCGTCAAAATTTTCAATTGCTCAAAATATATACAACATCAAACACCAAATTTGAGAAGAAATTGAAATTTTATTTAAATATTCTATAATTTAATGAATTTAATATGTCTCGGGAGTTTTGTAACCTAAAAGGACCCAAAATCTAAAACATCTCAGAATCTTCTAAGATCTTTTCTATTACTTAAAGTTTCAATTCAACACACTTGAATTCCCACGAGAATAAAAAGGTTTCAACCTAGTTTCAGCAAAATAACAAATATTTTGCTTTTGCAGTTTTTTTCGAGTAATTTATGAGAAACCTAATATTCCTTATAATGCATTAGCCGATAAATAGAAAGAAACCAAGGAGTTCATAACAACCGTAACACAAAGAAGTAAAAAGCCAGAAACAGAAATGCTAATGAAGGATGTCATCTAAGGAAGTAATCTCGATGCGAGCAACTTAATCATTGAACAAAGGCACTACAAAAAGAAATCAAAAGCAGTTGAACAATGATTTATAATAGTAAACCAATCATAACAAATTAATCAAGTCATATTGAATCATAATCATTTACAACAGAATAAACTAGGAAAATGGAAACTACGACATAAGGATATCTAAAACAATATCATCGTTAATGGTTTTCATTTTTAATGAATAAGAAATTGGGATTTCCATCCTTTTTCCATGCAAATTTAGAAAATTTTTGTGCTTATAATAAGGAAATCTATAAATCATCAGAATCTAGTCTGTCATCCCAAACAAAGGAACTTATGATATCTGCCATCAATAATGGGCTTAATCTTTGCATAAAAGATAACATCTATTGTTGACCATTAAAAAAAATATTAATTAATTAATGAATATTAAAATAATGATGTTTAACTGTTCCTGCCTCAGAATATAGAAATTAATCTCGTTCTTCTCATTTTGGTATCAATATACAATTGAATTAAAAAAGAATTACAAGCAGACAGGAGAAAAGTGGCCCCCCTCGGCCTTAACCCGAAACTTCCAACCTCCTTGCTCACGCTGATCTCCATGGCGATTCCTCCTCAGGTCGCACGCGACCTAAGCTCCATCACTGCACGCGTCTCACCTGCACGCTGTTCTTCTCCTTGCCATCCAAGCTGAGAAAATCCTGCTCTACCCTAATCCGCATGCCAAAATCGAGCAGTCTTCCCTGTGTCGTGCCTCCCTAACCTTCTCCCACCTCCTTCTTTCCTGTTCATGTGAACAGAACAACGGAATCTTGAGTTTCATCCTTCACCTTCATTCACGAAATCAACACTATATTCTTGTGTATTGTTCTTCTCCCTGTGCGATCTTCCATGTCGCGATCCTCCCACGTCGCTCTCGTAGGCCGTAGTAGAAGCCTTCGCGAGCCTAATCTCTCTGCACTGAAGCCTTGAACAGAAGTTGTCGACTGCTCACTTTACTGCTCGCATGATCCCCCTCTGCCCTACCCTTCCTCAATGTTGCAGGCACTCCCCTATCCGATAACACCCTACCATTGAACCGAGCCCCTCCTTATTCAAGCGCGACCCGATCAATCCTTCACAATCCGAACGTCAAAACTAATGCTTGCTTCTTGTTTCCCTCTTAACCAGCCAAGTCTTTTGTTATTTTATATTTCATATTATTTATTGCTCTGTATAATATTGGAGTAATGAGGGCAATTTTTGAAAACCTTCATTTGAGAGCGAAGTATCCGTTAGGTGGGGAAAAGTGTGATATCGTATGGAGAATTTTTTTTAAAATTGGGGAGCTCTCTGTTGCGATCTAATCCTTTTGCGAGTATCTTGAAGGCCTGTCTTATCCTTTGAGATCGCGGGACTCTTTTTGCTCTCTGACCACAGTGCCTCGCGACACTGACCAGTGAGTCTTTTGAGACAACTGGGAAGGTTGGCATTCTCTCATGCCCTCTAACAGGTGTTGACGTTGAGAGACTGACGAAATTTTGAGTGAATTTAGACATGTAAATAATATTAAAATATGGACTGTTTGGACTTTAAAAAGGGCATAAAATTAAAAGAAATGGATGTCATAAAATACAAAATTAACACTTAAGCTATAATTGAAGTCATTTCAAGTGGATAAATTAAATGCACTTGAAACTTGCATAAGATTCATAAAAAAAATTGAATTACTCGTCAATTAATATAATTGAACTTCTCTTTGGCTTCAAATTCGATCACATTCTAAGATAATTAAATAAAATATACATCCTGATATAAATAAATCTTTATGTGATCTATTTTAAAAAATTATTTGGGGCTAAACTTGATTGGAGCGAAGCTTAGGGGTTTCAAATTAAATTAAATATGAAATATCACAAATTGGAGGCTAAACTTAAATTTGATATAAAATTCTATAAATTGAGGCTAAAACTTGATTGGGTTATGCGTAGGGGTTGGCAAATTGACTCAAATATGAATACATAAACTTAGGCTAAATTCAAGCACACAATTGTCATTTGTAAATGCTAAAAATGAAACACTGATAGGCTATGACCACCAAATTCACAACATGTTAGGAAATGAACAGAAGGCGGTAAAGTGTTTGAAATCAAAACCTGTACGTAAGCTATTTGATTTAATTCATATTTTAAAATCATAAGAATTGCTTTAAGACACCAAATGCTTATGCTAAAATATCTCAAATACATAAATTAAATGTCCGTATATGCACCAACCAAACATATTTAATGCTCAAATATTAGGTTCAACAATGTTACGCGGGCTAAGCGGGTTGCCTTGTTTATATGATAGGGTCGTAAGTCCCACTTAACTAATTTGATCATCTTCTTTGTAAGGACTAGAATTGACGATTCTAGTAAGCCCTGATAACTGTTCAAATCCTGAAATAAGGATTTACATGTCTAAATCACCTCACCAGTTTGATCCTCCTCCTCAGAAGGATTGGAGTTGACAGTCCAGTAATTTTAAGATAAATATTCAAATTCTAAAAATGAAATTCTACAAGATCAAATCACCTAGTATGATCCCCCTACTTATAAAGATAGGAATCGACAGTACTTATACTCTAAAATTCTAAACAAACAAAACTAAATGTCCCACCATCAAATATAAAAGTTTTAAATGATCAAATCATTGATGATTGTGGTGTGATCGAAGATTTCAATCGGAGGGATTTTAAACTAAGATTTTCAAAGTAACCAATTATTTAAGCTTAGAAACCAATATTTTCAAAGTAAACACAAAATAACAATTACGAAAGGCCCCCCTGACTTTGTGGTTGCCGCTAAATGACATCATTATATTATGATTACGGTCTCATATTTCCCTAACGGTTTTCTACCTTTTTAGTTGTGAATTATAAGGGTACAATTGATTGACATAAAACATTTCTGTTAGCTAAGATTGATTTAAATTTGTCCCTTTAGACAAAAATCCATTCCAGATCTACAAGGATACCTTGAACGATGCAACCCCATGACTGCTGACAAGAATTCTTATGTCAGGTTAGGTTATGTCGATTACCTCTTCTAAGTAAGTAGATCAGGAACGACGATGGCTTGGGATGATAGAACCAAGATATCTTGATCAGGTTTCATTTTCATTCCCCCACTATCCGTTTTAACCTTCAAGTGATGGATTTTACAACTTAAATCCCAAGTCAGTTACTATTTTATATTCAATTTTCAATTATTAATTACTAGCCTTAATCGAAAGTGCTCTTTCGTTACCGGGAGAGGTAATTAACCGTAAGGGCTTGCGCCTATGGAAAATCTCGTACCCCAGATCAAAAAATCCTCGCTAAATGAGGGTGAAATCTCTGAGTAGTGTCTTATCGACAATCTAATTTGCCTTCTGAAAAATTTGACTCTCTAAAGCTCTCTCTCTCTCAAACAAAAATAAAAACAAAATGCAGAGTTGTTCGAGGGGAACGGTTGGGAACTAAAGTTGTCCTGGGGGGAACGTTCGGGAACTTTCAGAGCCCACATCTATGACAAGATGAGTAGTTATGCCAGGTAAGGTGTTGGATTTGAATTTGTGGGGGAGTTAGAGAAAAATCCTTAGCATTGGTGGTAGGTTCATGAAATAAAATTAAAATTTTTTTATCAAATTTTGGATTATTATCATAGCTTTCCAAATTTCCTTGGATCAGAAAAAATTAATTTTGACAAATTAAGTATTTGATATTTGCCATGTAAATCTAGGAATAATTATTGTTCTTTCTACAAGGTAATCCATAAATCACCACAGTAAGATTGTCGTCCCAATGCACTAAAAACTTAACAAATCAGGCTTAGTTCATTCTCAATCGCTTGCCAAATATCTTTAATAAATATATGGGAATAACAAAAAAATCTTGATGTAACTGACTTTTTATTACAAGACTAATATGTCTGACTCATTGATATGGCTGAACCCTATAGTCACCACAAGATGAATATTGCTTTTGATGTTTATGTTTCAGGTTTGCTTATGTGAGTTTAAGCTTCACTTGCAATAGTTTACAAAAGTAATTGGACATGAACACTAGTTTTTGATTTAGCATATTTAGATCTTTCATAATCAAATAGATGGAATGCCAATCCATTATGAAAAATTCCCTTTAGGTTATGTCTCCCATAGAATGCAGGAATGTAATTTTGATCCTTAAGATAGAGATGGTGTATTTGTTTCGAATCATAACTTGAATCTATTTTGATTGCATAATTTGCTAAATTTTTGTTAGCCCTCCCAATCATTATAACTTAGTTTTGGTTGGCATGATAAAAGCAACCGTAAGCTGTAAAACTAATTTGATATAAGACATCTTAGAGTTGAGAGTTCACTAATTGAAGGCTGAATAAGATGCAAAAAAAAATAAATAAATAAAATGATTATAATTCACAATTACCCAACTTTTAACTTAGTTAAAAATTACGTATTTTATTCAAAATCCGAAAATTTGTTTCATTTAGTCGAAACGATGATATTAAAACTTCCAGAATATCAGAATTGAATATATAATTTTTCCACAATATAATCTATCTCCATAAAATGAAAATCAATATGTATCAATTTAGAAGAAATCTCAATCATGCACCACTGAAAAATTTAGAAGGAAGAAGAAAGATACATAATATTATGAGATACGTTCCCCAAAAATTATCATCAAGATTTGTAAATGCTTGAAGAATTTATGCCCAACAACACACAAAAACCAAGAGAAAACAAATTTTATTCAATCAATCAATATTACAGTGAGTGTTACATTCCTCAGGGGTCCTTTTTATAACCTAAAACACTCAAAATGTATGACTAATTTTAAAGCCTTGAAGATTTATCCTAATATTATAAGTTTAAATTCAACCGAGATGAATTAGTAAATTTTCACTTTTAACGTCCTGCTCAATCAATTATCGGTATCTACTAAAATGTTTTTGTCAAAAAAGTTAGAATGAAACTAGTCAGAAGAATGAAACTATTGCACCACAGTAGGAAAACAACCACAGAAGAAAATATGATGCAGGGACTCCTGTAGAAGCGACTTAGGCGGTGTGCAGGAACTTGGAAAAGATTCACTTAGATTTTACTTGATGAGAGTTGAACTGAAATAACTTGAAACAATAAATTTGTGGGAAATTTACATACCTATCACATGATTCTTATGTATTTATATATCTAAGACCCAAAGTTTGATATTTACAATTATAACGCCTTGGTGTCATAAATCTATGCATGAAAATGTGTATTTCACTTTAAAAAAGGTTGTGATGATGATATTTTTTATTTGATGTTAAACATTTGAGTGTTATGCATGTAAATATGGAAGTCTAGGTGTTAAATATGTAAAAACATAAGAATTGTGTGTTATGCCTGCAAATGCCCCTAAATTAATCCTATCATTGTAATTAAACTATATAACACATTCCACTATCATAAAAGCGATCATCATAACAAGAAAATAAATAGCAACATCAGTAACTAGCCTTTATCGCAATAAGTGGGGTCGGCTACATGAATCCTTCTTCTCCATTGTGTCCTACTAAGTGTTATATTTATACTTAGTTCTAATAAATTAAGATCATTTTTTATATAACGTGCCCAAGTCTTTTTAGGTCTACCTCCACCTTTTTTATTATAAGCTGAATTTAAAGCATCTGCTATCCTAACCTGATCATCATGTGGCTGACTTTTAATAAGACAACTCTCTCCAGAAATATGAGTTTGACTTTAAGACTCATATTTCACCCCAAATTGTGTTATCCTAAAGAAAATGTCAACCGGTTTTTATTAGATTTTACTGAATAAAGAAGCTTTATTAACTTTAAGACTTTGACCTTCCTCTCCAAGCACTGTAAACCAATATCTTAAATTGTTTTAGTTGGGCGAACCACCTAATCCACCCCAAATTGTGTTCCTAAGATGGACTTGTGAAGTTTGAGGATCTACTCAACTCAAGGGTTCAAAAGGAATTTGATCCACAATATTTAGCATCTATGGATATACATTCACAATTTAGCTTGTAATGGGATAATTTGGTCGTCAGTTCTTCGGGAAGGCTCTACTCATGAAGATCATTATTGAATTCATTAGGTCCTTTAAGATATATTTAGATGTGAATCTAAATTGGATTGAGCTGAACTAACTAGTTATTACTACTCATCCTTCATTAAATAAGACTGGTTCCTTTTTTTGCAGAGAATAACTACGGCATGTCTTTGATCAATTTTCCTAACCCTAAATGCAAAGTTAGTGGCACGGATTTCTTTTTTTTCCTTTCAGGGCAGGGTCAGCGTTTGAACCCAGCCTATTAGGATTCTTCACCAGTGTCCAACCAACGCATTGGCATATACGAGCGTAAGTGTTTTTTTTTTTTAAAATTATTTCTTTCATATTCTAGGGGAGAGAAAGAGAATATGGCTTAATTTCATACTTACTGACTCTTTAGAAGCCAACAAAACTAGCTTGGGTGAGGCTCTCATCACCTTTTCTCTATGGTAGAAACAAAGTAGGTGGTGTGATTTTGGACTATATATCCTAATCCTCTCTTCCCCTTCGGATGCACAATAGAGCAAGTTTTAACCTGAACTCCGTTACCTGGAAACTGGGGAAGCCAAAGGAACCTTGAAATGTTGCAGCCTTTAGCAATAGTAAGGCTTTCTCCTCACTTGGCTTTCTCTATGGAAGTAGTCTTGGCGGCCTCTTGAGAGGACTTAAAACTTATGAACTTCTCCTCATTGTTCTTCCTCAAAAAATAAAGTGGAGGATATGATTTGTGGACACAGGAACTCAAATAATTCCTTGAGAACCTTACTTCCATTTGGCTTCCTCAAAAGAAGAAGGGGAGTATTTGACTTTGAGGGGCAGAGGGAAAGACTTTGTTTCTAGGTTGATGACCCAGAGGCTGTCTAATTGAAATCCCTGAATCATGTTTGATCTACTGCTAGTAATAATTGATAATTCACATATAGGTAGTATTTTTATATTTTTGTGTAAAATTTCACACACAAATTAGGCATTTAGATCACTAAGAGACTTCCAGCCAGTCAGCAAAATAAAACATTGTTAAATTCTATGGCGCTATATGGTCTTGCAACATTCCATCATTCTTATGTAGCTTCTCTTAAAAGAAGAATGACTTCCAACAGCTCTTGAGGGTGTATTACTGTGTTTGATGGTATCCATAGTTTCCTTGGGCTCGAGTCAATCCACTCAATGCTCGATCGTTAGGAGTACTATCTCGAGTACACGGCCACACAAAACACAAATATTTAAAAGGCACAACTAAGATGATTACATTATTGCATCCTTATCATCACTAGTACTTTTTTTCTGTTTGGGTTGGTAAAAAATTCTGCCTCAAGTGTTTGATAATTGATTAAATCATAAAAATAGGCTCAGAGATGAGTGAAAATGTGAAATGCATAGAGATATATGTAGCATTAATCAAGAACTGTATTTTACTAGTCTCAATGCATATGTATGTTCAATAATGATTTCATGTCTCTTGATAGGAAATTTGCTCAGGTTTATCCTGAGCCACTTTAACTTGTTGATTTTTTTTCTTGTTGATTTCATAATCACCTCCTCATAATCAAACGCCTCAATGTTCAATAGCAATTATAGTGGGAGCTAACTGTGCTAATGTGTGAATTTTGGGGCAATTACATACAGACCCCCCCAAAACATTGCTATTTACAAATCAACCATCCTCTTTCATCCGTATTCAAATTCTCACTCAGATATCAAAATTCGTGGTAAAACCCCAGCCCATGTTTTTAATTTTTATCAAATCCTCATTAGTATGATCATGGCACGCGTAAATGGATCGGTTCAGTAGTTCAAAAAAATCACCTTGGTGCTTGATTTGTAAATAGCAATGTGTCGGGTGGTCTGGTATGTAAGTATCCCTTTAATTTTTACTAAATATGTCATATAATGTGGCACTAATTTTAATTGTATCATCTTGTTTCTGTTGGCAGTACCAACGACGGTGTATTGGAAGAAATGAAGAGAGAATACATGAATAAAGGTAGCGAATAAGAAGGAGATCAATTTGAGCAAATGCTTCCATCGGGCTTAACGTTTTGACAATTTAGAATTGTTTTCTCAGATTGATTTTTATGTTTTCCATTCTGCCAAAAGGTATAGAGCCGTTGCTTCATTTAATTCCAAATTAAACTAAATTATGTTTGTTTATAGGTTAATTATAGGTTTACATGTTTACCTATTAAGTGATTAATAGGATTTGGCTTGTTTCTTTTTTCGTAGTGTGCGTCATTTACTTCTGATTAATTATATTCTGTTTAATTAAAAGATTATTAAATATTATGATTTTAAATATAGAGTTTTACATATATAAATTTTCACATAGTTCAACTTATCGTAAAATTATTTTATTTTGATTTCTTGATGCACCCAATTTAATATAATACATTAAAATATTACCAATGCCAAGCAATATCATCAATAGTATCTAAAAACGTTCCAATTAGATTAGAAGCACAGATTTTAGGGTTCAGATCAACTTCAATTATCCTGGACAGCAATCCTGGCCATCCAATTCACTTCGGATTGCCCGGAGTCACATGAGAATTACAGGGAATTAGAGGACAAATAGGGCTGCAAAAGGCCAAATATTCAATAAACTACTCGTGGTTCAAATCAATTAAAGCTCATTTATAATCATTGGATTAGTTAGTGGAACAACTTAATAACACTTTCATTTAGATTCATTATTTGATTCATCTATATTCATGCATAATATTATTAAAGCTCATAAAAAAGCTTGATTTCATCTCATTGATGAAAAATATCATTTAATAATTATTTTTTTTGACTCAATAAGCACTATCATTTGTTTTTCCCAACAAATTAATTATATAGAATTGCTAAATGAGTTACATCTTGAGGTGGGCTTGCATAGGGTATTCATGAACGAGCTTGAGCTCGAACATAATCTTAAAAGCTTGAATAGAACTTAGCCAGAACTCTAACAAACTCTTGATAAACGAGTTCAAGCTCGTACCGCACGTATCAATGGCACGACCGAACATGCTCTAATCAAAAGAATTCGTATGACTAAACATGCAACTACAATTTCTAAAATTACTAATAAACTAGAGAGATCCAAACCTCGACACATTGAGAGAAGCTGACGAAAAAAATTAGTGACGCTTATACTGATTAGACGTAAGAAAATTAGAGGTCAAGGGTTCTTAATACAATCAAAGATCAGAATCAAGATAAAAATTTGTTAAAAAGATATCATAATGTGCAGTTACCAACTCATAATTATGCCAAAAAATTGTATCCCACATGACAACATTTCAATCATATCCACAACCAACGATCCAACAAATTAAATAAGGGAAATTTACAAGCGTAGCACTCAATTCTTATAGATGTACGTATCTCATACTTAAACTTCCATATTTACTGTAATAAAGTGTGCAAGCGGTGGTTTGTTGATTGACAGCTTTAGTGTAAGTCCCATCTCCCGGGTTTGAATGCATCTGGGTTGAATTGACACATATAGGGTGGACAGACACATCTTGCCCTCCATCTTCAGTTACTATATATATATATATATATATAAAAGAAGAAAAAATTATTATAATATTGAATAAAATATAAAAAGGTGTGGACAGACACCCCCTTGGACGAGATCGCTATCATTCGATCTTCTCTTCATTTGAACCATCACATGAGTGAAGAGATCGTAAGAGGAGTAGCAATTTATCTATGAGTGGAAGAAGCCCAAAGAGGAAGAAGTTGTTTTCATGCGATTTTTCCCCGTAGTGCGATACTTACTCGAGCGAGAATGAAAAGAAAGGAAGTAGAGAAATTATCGCGCTATAGTTGAAGAAGGAAGAATACGTAGGAAGAAGCGTGCAGGAAGAAGACACAAGCCTGCTCTGTGTCGAGGCTAGGACCAAAGAAGAAGAAACGAGAAGAAGAGTTCAGAGTCTCATATCGACACCAAGCTCTAGCCGATTGGTTGAGGAAGATGGGCAGAGACCACGGCTTCGAGCACTGCCACCATGCACAGATTCGACATTGTGCTCACACTAGAAGAAGAGAAGAGGACTCGAACTCCTCTATGTCGAAGTTAAATCAAGAGGTAAGAGGGAAGAGAAACCCTCCTACGTGAGTACGATAGGGCAGACAACCGAATAAGGTAAGTTTATAAATTAATACGTTAATTATATATTTATAAATGTATATGTTTATATGCTTATTATTTAAATTCTAAGCTTAATTATATGCAATATCAGGATTGAAACTAATAAATTAAAAAAATTTAGGTAAAGAGGTAACACGAAATTCATTTGAGGGAAGGGGAAAAGTTGGACAACAAAAGGATTTTAAGGTATTTTAGTGGTATTTTTAACTTATTTAATGAATTTGTGGCTTTGTGCGAGTGTATAAATGCAATGTCAATTTAATTAGGATTTTAATCCAGAGATTTTGGCTTTGAAGGGGATGAAGTTGTGAATCAAGCATAAAAAGGAGGAGATCAACCTGAAAGTCTATAAGGTACGTGTTAAACCTTGGGTCATTAATGAAATTAATGACGCAATTAGATATGTTAATTAATTAATGTTATTAAATTTTTTTAATGTTAGAAAGTGAGGAAGAAAGTTGGCTAATCCCTTGGATTTGAGGAAAAAGAGAAATAACTTTAAAAGATAATTAAATTATAGTTTACTTAATTAGGAGTTGATATTAATAAATTATTAATGTTTAATTGTAATTTAAGTTGAAACACATTTAAGCCTAAAAAATCATGGGTTTGGGAAGCTAAGCAATGTGAGTAATTATTTTCTTATATGTATTACATTTAAAGTTTATCAAATGAAGGATTATTTAATGCTTTAGAAAATTATTTTGTGATAGTAGTATGCATATCATAGCTTAAGAATAAAAGAAAATGAGAGGGAAAAAAATGAATCTTTATTTTTTTTTAAAGAAGGTAAATTAAAGGAAATGAAATGTAAGGCAAGTGTTTAAGTTATACAAAAATTACCCCAATATATTACTGGTAGATGATGCAATAAGCTCGTGCACGTTAAAAAAATGGTAAATGTGTACATGTACAATTTGAGGGTACATTTTGGTACAATTTTGAGGGTGCTTCAGACACATTTTTTATAATTCATTTGGGCACGGATACCTTCGGGTATGACAAAAATCCTGGCATAACTCTTAAAAATGTTAAAATCAATAAATACTTAAAGTTGAATGGGAAGAAATAAATTTAGTTTTAATGAAATTAACTGTATTTTCTTTTGGCCATTCATACATAGCATATTATAAGAATTTAATACATATTAGATTATAAATATTAGATTATAATTACTCGTTATACTTATAGTTGCAAATTAATATTTTCTTTCAGGATAAGAAAAGTTTTATATTGATATGTCTGATAAGAGAGACTTTGTTTATCAGAAAATGACCACTGCTGCTATGTATATTTGTTAGGATAATAGTTTTTCTTTATTGTATCTTTCATACATTGATATACTGTTTGTTACTTGCTTAAGATGTTATTTTTGGATGTTGTTTCTGGATGCTTTAGATTATATTGCACTTTGTGGATTAGTGGCTCTTTATATGTATTGGAAGTTTTCCAAAATATAGATACTAAGATGTTAATACTGTCCGACAGTTGTTGTTGTCTTAATTAATTCTAAGCACCGAGCCGAGTTGTGACATTTACATGCATAACATTTTCCTTTATAGGTAAAAATCGATTTGGCCACTAAAAAGTGTAATTAGTGCTAATTTTGATGTGATATGAAAGAATTGGGTGCTATACGAGTAAAAATGAAAGTTTCAGTGTAGATATGTAAATCCATAAGAATTGAGTGTTATGCATGTAAATGCCCCATTAATTAAATAATATTCGGGATAGAAATGACCCAAAAAAAGGGAAAAAATTTGCGTGCGATACGTCTACCGGGAGTCTCGTCGGAGAGGGCCCCATCCACACATGTGAAATGCTCGAAGACAAACACATCCAAAAGCACACACATAAAAGAGAGAGAAACTATAGATTTATTTAAAAAATTTATGTGCCTGAAAAAATCATATTTATAACATGAGGAGGAGCAAAACAAGAAACTTCACTAAATATATAAAAAACTACTAAAAAGCTAGTTTTAATACATCAGTAATTCAACAAAGGAACTCATACATAAACTTCACTTTTACCAAATTGCTTATAGATTCAAACAAAATAAAGAGATTTCATCCCAAATATTGATGCAAAAACAGGGCAGATGAAGCCACATAAAGAGAGGGCAACAACAGTATTACGAGGATGGAAGTTGAGAAAATGGAGATAATAACAAATGGAAGGAAGATTTACATGCAGACCACTTAAATCTTATGTATTTATCTAACACCTATATATATATATATATATGTCACCTTACATATGCATGAAAATGTGTATTTTACTATTTAAAGTTTAATATAGTGGTTTTTTTTATGTGATAAGAAACATTTGGGTAGCATAAATAAAAAATATATATATAAAAAGTAAAGTTCAGGTGTTAGATGTGTAACTACGAGGAATTGGGTGGTATGCATATAAATGCTCCCAACTGGAAACATAGCAATATTCATACGTGAAGGCATAACAGAATATAGCAAGCTGCAGCAATATTTGAGAAACATAATAGCGAGGAATAATTAATTCTTGCCTTAGAAATGATTCTAAACTCCAAATGTACAAATCAGTGCGGTAATGAGTTATGAGACCTAATAAACTCTTCAAAAATATTATGCAGCATATGTTGTTCGTATAAGACGTTGACGTCATAGGCATGTTTTTACACTTGAAATAAACTACGGAATAAAAACTAAGAATTAACACATATGAATTGCATTTGAAACGAATGCAGACTTTCGGATATGCATCAATGTCACTCAGGAGTCTCAACAAAGATATACTAAGAGGTTGTTTGGGATCATTTTTTAATTTTTGATTTTTTTTTCTTATTTTTATTTCATTTTGCAAAAAAGAAGCATGAAAGTTAAGTAGCTCCAATGACAGACAAGATTTAGAGAGAGCCGCCTTAGATCATCTGATCAAATTAAAAGTCGACCATTAAATGACACAAGTAGGAGAATAGATGTTTTAAATTTGACTTATATTAAGAAATGTAGAAGTAAACCTCAAAAAACTTGCGTATGCTATATACAAAGTGATCTTAATTTATTA